CACAACAGAAGTTCAGCACACATAACACAGCAGGTCCTGCTGCCTTGCCTGCTACCTTGCTTCAGGCAATGGGTTTGATCCCGCCTTTCGCCTCACCTGCCACGACTTGAAAATGATAAAATGTGCATTGGTGGGATCACCCAGCTGGCCCAGAGAGCATCTCAGATCGGCCTCTTCAGTGTCCCCAAAGTTTCAGCTGGTTCTGTCTTGTGCACTGTAGGCATCTACGGGGTATCCAGAAGCCATGTGAGTGGAACATGTTCCCCTGTGCATCAGGGACCCAGAAGCCGGATGCCCCAGGCAGACGGGCAGCGTGCACACACAGGGTCCCTGATCAGAGCTTCCCTCTCCAGAGGTCGTGGGAACGTTCCCTCTGCTCCCTGCTGGCTTGACACATGTGGCTCTTCTGACGCCGCAGATACCAGCAGCAGCCCAAGCAGATCCCACCTCTAGCCTGGGTAAGGCAGAGAGAGCGAGCAGGGCTGATCTCTTCCCCGACTTCTCTCTCTCCACTACACACAGACTGATATAAAAATGGCAGAAGCTAGTCTAAGATTTGTCCCCCTCCAACCAAAGAGGGAATGTGTGTTCTGCTTGCTACCGATCGAAACTATGCCACTTACAGAAAACCGCGTAACTTAGATCAGTTCCACCTCAGGCTCTTTGAATGTCTTAAACCAGAAATATTGGTCTCAGGGGAAAAACTAGAGACAAAAAAGAGGGGGAGAAAAAGACCATGAAAAAGTACCCCCAAAAAAGAATATCTTCTGAAAGTCTGAACTCAGTGCATTTGGCATAGAGCAGGTTCAAGGACCACAGCATGACTTCTTGAGCCACCCAGCTATTACAGCAACAGACTGCTAGGACATCATCTAATTATTAAGAAACTATTAGTCTCACTTCACATGCACATTTCATTTTCTTTCATTACAACTATGGAGAGACTGGTTAAAATGATTAGCTCATCCCTGAATAACTTCAACATAACCATCTGTTGCCCAAAGGCTCAATGAATTCCCCCAGCTAGCTAAAATTAATCCAACTGTCTGAGATCAGTTTGGAGAGAGTTAGAGCAACAGTTTTACCAAAAAGGTAAAAGAACCAGGTTCGTAAACATTTTTGCTGCATAATTTTGGACACTCCATGTTCAAATCCCCTCAGATATGGTCTGCCATCCCTAATCAGTCTATCCGTGCTCAATATAATCAAGGTAGCATGGAGATATTAGGGCACTGCGAGCAGTCGTCTTATTTAAAACAGTAAGCAGCTCTCAACCTTCACTACAGCAGAGCTACCAACTACTGCTCTGGTATAATGCATTAGCGGGAAGTTTTCTCCTCTCTCTAAGTGCAGCATCATCCCGCATGATCTCCCAAGCAAGAGGAACTTCCGGAAGTGAAGCCACTTGGCTTCCAGCCTGTGATACCTCTGGTCTCCAAAAACTTACTGCTCCATTTCTGTCACCAGAACATCATAAGAGTGAGATGCTGAGCACATTGAAAGGTCAGTAGCATTTCCTGGGATCTGCACTTGAGATGCCAAAGAAATGGCTTTGTGGATGAATCTAGGCTACCGCATGTGCTCTCCACTCCGTGCACGAACATTTTTCGCGTAGAGCATTAAACATGATGTCATTCGTTACAGCCTGGTGCTACAATTGACTCCATTTACTATGTTGTGAATAACCATTTATTAATAAAAGTCAAACCCACGCTCTTGCTCCGATGAGTAACAGATAATCACTGTGCACACAAGGGCAGCGTGTGCCCCAGAAAGACGCCGCCTTTATGTACTGTCACAGCTGGGCTTATCCTACAGCTACCACAGCAACTCACTTGAGCTAGAAAATGCCCCCAGTCTGCAGATGTTTCCAGGACTGGGAAAGCTTTGTGTACTGTAAAGGAAGAACAACTTTCGTTCACGGATGTGCCAAGAGCAAACACTCCATGTGTGGCCAATGGCTAAATGTGCGCAGGTCTAATCAGGGGGAATGTCTCCAGGCTTCATCAATAGACCTTTGGGATCGGCCTGAAGTTCAGTCTAACTAGCGGTCCACGAGCACTTATTAGCAAAGAGGAGATATATAATCCACCCAAACCCATTTTGGCAGCTTTTAGTAGCAGGCCCCTCACATGTTAATAGTCTTTACAGTGGTTTATTCAGCATAAGCATTCCCAGTAAAACCTATCTAAGGCATGTCTGGGCAGGTCCTTCTCATTCAAGCTGAGGATTCCCAAAACAGTCATAAGATTTCATTAAATCAAAACCATCCGGCCTCTTGGATCTCCCTCCCGCATCCTGAGGTTAGGAGCCAATATCATTTCAAACATGCTAGAAAGGCTTTGGACTAAGTCTTACTGCTACTGTGTAAGCACTGCCTGCTCTAATGGGGATTAATGCCACCCTCCTCTGTCACTAGGGAGGAAAGCAAGATTGCTATTTTATGTCACCGCAGCACTGACAGGCCCCAAATTCAGTTGTCTGATGCTGCTCTGGCATAAAGTGACAATCCCTGCCCTAAAGAGCCTGAAAAGAGAGGAAAGGAAAGCGGCCTGCTTCAGATCACATGCAGCGTTCAGAGCAGAGCCCACTTTCCCCTCCCCACACACTTTATACGAAGCCATGCTGCTGCCTGACAAAGGGGCAGAGGATGGCTGCCCATCTCCAGGCCAAAAGGTCCTTTGTATTTATTTAGGTCCCTCCTCTCCGCAAAGCAGCATCAGCAGTCTTCCCAGGCACAGGACTTGTTCTGAACCCAGTGGATCTTGTCCTCATCCTGTGATCTAGCTCCAAAAGTGTCTTTCACGTGCCTTTCAAAGGTCACTGGCTGTGCTGCTAAGCGTCACGTGAGGACACACTAACCCAGTTCTTGTGAGCCCATCACCGAACACTGAAGACAACAAATGTGGCAGGTGGGTTTGTTGGCATCTGTGCCATTTCTGCTGAGTCCCTGATGTCAGCCAGCACAACATCTGTAAAACACACAGATACACCAAGAAATGTTTCTATGTAACTATGCTGGTAAGAGGTGTACGTTTTTACTACCATTAGTATGCCAGCAAAAGTCCTAGTGGGATCACAGTAATTGCAGCATAAGGTGCTTTGCATCTATGTCCTTCAGCTTGCTTCACAAAACTGGAACAACCTAGGCCAGTATTAGGAGTTTGATTCTGGTATGGCTGCCTCTTCCACTGGGGTCACTCCATCTTGCAAGAGTTGACAAGGCCATAAGTTGAGAACAAAATAAATGGTAAACCCTCCTAAGCTCCTACAACATGCTGGCACCCTGGTACAATGTTGCTTTAATGGGGCTGTTGCTGTTATAAGGCATGTCATTTGAATACATAGTATGAAAAATGTTCCCAAGAGGGTGGAAGGGGGTTGCTGGTAAGGGGCTGTTCCTCTTAGCAAGTGTTGCTGCAAACAAGAGCCAACTGTAGAAGGCTGTATGGTACAAATGACTAGAGCAGCATATTATTTCACGGACTTGTGAAGAAAGCTGTTAGGAAGAAACCAGCCTTTTATTCCTGTCTCTCCCCACTGCCCTCCTAAACAACCATAAACACCTAGTAGTGCTCATGTGAGCCTTTACCTGTTAAAAAAAAGAGAGAGGAGAAGGTTACACTGACCTGCCACAGTGCTGAGCACATTTGGTTTCCCTCATAAAGAACCTGAATGTCTCGAATTTTGTAGGAGGCCCTCATACCACGGAGACAAGTCACAAGCAAATAGCATAATAAATCATTAATGTTGACAAAGCCTTTTAAGATTGCTGCATACACGCTGTAGATATACCAAGTATTAATATATTGCTATCATGCACACATTTTGACATGACAAGGTGTATGCATCGACCCCATAAAGTTTTTAAGCACTTGTTAATATTTGGCGCCATGCAAAAATATCAATTAAGCATTATAACAAATTGGCCATGTCCAAAGCACGTGCATTCCCCCAGAATGACTTGATAGCGTCCTTGAGCCAAGCAGGCATGTGGTAATTCCTCTATGGGGTGGAAAGACACTGGGAGGAAGAGTGACCGACTTGTAAGCTTTGGCCAAAGGAGGATAGGAGTTTCAGGTTATAAGGCTCCTGCTTGATCACATGTAGGCAACTTATGAGAAGGCAACCTCGGATAGCTTGTGCTCTTATCAGAGGGACTGAAAGCCTATTTGTATGCTGCCTGTAGTGACAGGAAGCATTTAGAAAGCATATCAGCAATTTTTAACAGTTTCTCTTTTTATAAAATGTGTTCCCCCTTTTGTATTAAGCCTGCCCTGGCTTTTCCTCCATCTACCATTTATGCTTAGCCCATAACTTTCTGCATTCAATATACTGCTGGTACTTCTCTTTTGCATGTCCCTTATCTTGTGATACTCGCTGTCATCGTAAGGACCAACATCCAGTGAAGATCAACTAGTTCACCATAGAGCACTGCTTGGAAGTATAGAGGTGCAGATAGCTGCCCCTTTCCCATGATATGTCAGGACCAAGCAGGAGCTTGTTGGAGTTTTGTCTGCCTCTGCTTTTTAGACCACCACGGCTACAACCTATATCCCTGAAACATGGAAGGTATCATAATTAACCGTTTGGAAATGTAAACTTCATTGCTAAACAGGAAAGAAGCAAAATTCAACTCCCTGCCTGACATCTGGCACCTTCAGGGGAGAACCTGATGGAGCCTTGCCTCTTCCTAATCTGCATAGTTGCAGAGCAACTTTTTCACAAATGGACTTTGAAACCCAGGGGAACCCTACCATCTGTTACCTCACCTGTGCAAGATGAAGTTTCGTTTCTACCTGGGAGAACTTTTACAATCTCCCAGAGGGGGTGGTGCAGGCACCTACCCTGGAGATCTTCAAAAGGAGACTGGACACACACCTTGCTGGGGTGATTTAACCCCAGCAGTTTTTCCTGCCTCTTGGGCAGGGAGCTGGACCTGATGATCTCACTCCAGCCCTAAACTTCTATGACTCTATGAATTCTCTTCTGCCTGACAAGGGATTTTTGGCCCCAAAATCTTGCAAAGAAATAATTTTTTTTGCTACTATTTAGTTGGCCTAATAAAAGATATGGCTTCTAGCCCAAGAGTTTCACCTGTCTTGGCTTCACAAAGACATTTCAATCACCCTCAAGCCATGCAATAAAGAGCTCCAATATCTTCCAGTATATATAACATGAGAAACTTCCACTGTTGCGCTTCATGAAAAGCTTTGTAGAGCCAGTCAGGCAAAGAAAGAGCTCTGCAAAGCTGCTAGAAACAGCATGTCTTTAACGTGCAGTTGGCCAATGAGAGCTTGTTGGGATGATGTAATGTTTGCTATCCTATTTTATTGGTGGAGCGTGGCATCCCTATTTGCAAAGGATATGATAGGGGAGGAGTCTGGGGCAGGTCAGAGAACTTTCTTTCCCATCACACGTTTCAGCTAGCCTATTTAACAAGTAGCTTAGGGTTTTTGCCCCTTTCAGTTATTTTTGCAAACAATGAGGGGGTGAGTTGTTTATTTGAAAAGAGAAAGCGAAGTCTGGGGAGAGGTCTCCAAAACATCAGGTGTGCAATTATGTTCTGCATTTCTGGGTACAGTTGCTCTGACCATTTTCCCAAAGTCTAGCATCGCAGGATTTTCTACATCTTCCCCACCCCCTTCCCCCTATCACTGTAATTTTTATGCAAATAGCTGACTTTCATGTGCAAATCAGGCAGGCAACTGTACACACACATATTTTTGCAAACACACCCTGACTCCTGACCTATTAGAAAAGAAGATTTTGTGGTTTTGAACGAGAAGGTAAGTAGCTAATTTTAGCAAGGGAGACTGACCTGCTCATTGGCAAAGCCATGAAGTGTTTTAAATACCCTTGAGGAAAGATTTCAAGCACTTCTAGGAGCAAGTGGCATAAGGAAAGGCAGAGGGAAAAATGCTGTGCTGTTATCATTAGCAGAGTCAATGTATTTCGTTCGGCCAAATGATCCGTGGCTGCCGGGAAAACAGATGAAATTGAGTCCAATATTTCCATGATTGGGTTAAAGATGCTTTTTTAATTCACTGACAAAAGAGTATCATAGCTGGAAGATAATGGGGCCCCATTCATTTGTAGCAGCGGCAGGCAGACTGCAAACTCCCGGTGTTAAATGTCCCCGGGGTGTGGGTATCTGCAGCACAAGCCACTTGTAATCTTTATCACTGGGGGATCCAGAGCCAGCTGGCATGGCCTGAATACTGGGGCAGGTGGGAAGCCAGGCAGAGCCAGGATACCCAGGAGATGACCGGACTCAATACCTCTCCTTGTACCCTTGGCTCTGCCTGCTAGGGGTGAATTTCCCTTTATATTCAACTTCCCCCATAGCCACTTATAAGAATCAGTTAGGCCCCCATCCTAGGTATCCATGGGGGAGGACCCAGCCCGTGGTTTCTGTCATCGCTGGTGAAAGGCTGCCTGAACTGCAGGTCTGAAGGAAGCCACAGCCTGAAATACAGGAACTACAGAGCTAACACGGCACCTGCCAACGTGACTAAGCTTTAGTCTCTCCTGGCACTCACCCATGCATAGCTGCTCTCATTCAAACACCTGACAAACGTGGTATCTGCATGAGGACATGACACCATGAAACACCGTCTCCACCTCTGGGAAAGGTGTGTTTGGAGGACTCGCATGTCTCAGGCTGGGCTTGGCAAGGCAGGGTGGAGTGATTTATAAACTAGAGCGATTTATAAACTGAGCTTGTTTGGGAGCACTCACTTACTCACTCTGCTTGAGTTAAATCCCAAGAGGGGTCTCCAAGGAAAACCAGACAGATTTGACAGCACACTGCATCCCCTTACATCAAAGTACTTTAACCTTCCTGAATTAAGCTTTATAATATGCATGGGAGAAAGTGTTCTCGCCATTAGACAGACCAGGAAACTGAGGCACAGACAAGCTAATTTGGACAGAGCACTCTGTCCAGATTCGCGGATGACACGAAATTATGGGGTAAAGTAAACACACTAGTGGGAAGGGATTGAATCCAGGCGGACCTGCACCAGGTTGGAAAAGTGGGCAGAAAGGAATAGGATGCCTTTCTACAAAGACAAGTGCAAAGTGCTGCACCTGGGGAGAAGGAATCACCAACACACCTATAGGCTGGGGGAGGACTTTCTCAGCAGCACAGCAGCAGAAAGGGATCTCAGAGTCATAGCTGAGTCCAAGATGAACACGAGCCATCGATGTGACAAAGTGATCAGTAAAGATAACTGCACTCTATCATGCATTAGCACATGCATCACAAACAGGTCCAGGGAGGTGATACTTCCCCTCTATGCAGCACTGGTCAGGCTGCTGTTGCGGTACTACATCCAGTTTTGGGCGCTGCACTTCAGGAGGGATGCGGATAACCTTGTGAGTTCAGAGGAGGGCCACCCATATAGTTAGGGGCCTGCAAATGAGGTCTGAGGAGGAGGTATTGAGGGCCCTGGATCTCTTCAGCCTCCGCAAGAGAAGGCTGCGAGGTGATCTTGTGGCCATTTACAAATTCATCGGGGGGCAGCAAGAAATAGGAGATGCTCTGTTCACCAGGGCACCCTTTGGAGTAACTAGAAATGATGGCCACAAACTGATGGAGAGTAGATTCAGGTTAGACAGCAGCAACAACTTCTTTATGGTGAGGGTGACAGAATCCAGAACGGGCTCCAAGGGAGGTGGTGCTCTCCCCTACCATGGGGGTCTTTAAGAGGAGGCTGGACATGAACCTGGCTGAGGTCATCTGACCCCAGCGCTCTTTCCTGCCCAGGCGGGGGGTCAGACTCGATGATCTACTGAGGTCCCTTCTGACCCTAACAACTACGAAACTATAATTAAGTTGCTTGGTGCCATGCAACCCGTGTGTGGCAGAGCTGGGAACTGAACTAAAATGCCTCTGCCTCAGTCAAACAAAAAGCCCCGACTTCATTCATTCTTTTCTTTTCTCGCCCAGCATCCTGGGGTGCCTTGAGATCTTTTCAGGCATGCCCCCAAATGTTAGCACTGTTGGGTTGGCAAATACAATTCACAAAATAAACCCAGAGATTTCAAATAGGAATTCATAGTTTTAAAAGTATTCTGGTCTTTCTGAGTTCTCTGCAACGGAAGAATTGCTCGGTTACTTTTCAGTAGCCAAGCAATAAGTCAAAACCAAGAGCTGGCATTTTCTGAGAGGTGCCTTGAATCTAAAAGGATTGAGAAACACTGGCTTGGAGTGTGTGATATTTTCCTATTGCTGCTGATAGCTGGAAGCCACCATCAGGAATTGTGTTTAAACTTGCCCAAGTTGATCTCCGTCTTTAATTGAAACCAAGGCAGCCCTAGTGAACATGTTTTCTTGCAGCACAGAAGCAAACCCAATGGCAAATTCCTTCACTGCTCTCCGAAGGCGTGTGCCTGCACACAAGGACCCTACCTTCCTTGCGCAGGAGACATCTTACCCATTTCCAAAGGGCACTCAAGTGTCCTTAGCTTTCCCCCTGTTGCTGATAAAAAAACCCAATGAGCAGAAAAGGTTTGCCCAGAGATCTATGACTGAAGAGCTCCGAGATTTAAAAAGGAAAGGATGTCTGCACAGGCTTTGTGTTGCCCTGGAGGTTGCTGCCAAAAACTCTGCTCACCTGCTGCTGTTCCTCATGCCCCAGCCCGATACGGCAGGAGGATGCTCCGAGCAGGCCACCCTTCTCAAGACCTCTGGAGACAGAGAACTCAGGAGCTGCACAAGCAACCACGGAGCCTGTATAGATATACCCTGAGTCCTACTATCAATCTGGCTGGACATGGGACTGTTAAACCCAACAGAGTTAACCATGCGTATGCTACTAGCATTAGCCCTTCACTGCATTACCAGGATTTTGCAGGGAGTTTGAACTTCTCTTTCAAGCCTGCTAAAAAGTTGGTTTTAAACAGTGTCTCTGTTGCAGCCATTTTGTCCACATATGCAGTTAAACTATGTTTCGGCATCCGGACCGTCCATGATACACTACAGGCAATGCATTCTGGGAAAGCAATGGCAGTGAGGCCAGGCAGAAAAAGCAGCAACCCCAGGCAGGTGGCAGTCACTGCTGGGACAACCTGCTGCACAGATGGGCGTGCCAACTCTGCTTGAATCTACTCCAGGAGGTTTCATCACACGATATAATGCCATTAATGTCTTTACATCAGGAAGGCACATGCACATTACTAGTACATTTTTAAAACCCACTGGACAACTGTATAAATCAGATTCAACATTTCATATTTACTTTAATGAATGCCCTATCATTTATCTCCCGGGTGACTCTCAGCAGTCTCCTGAATATTTATCTCTACTTCCTGGAGACTCCAGGGCAATCCTGGAGGGTTGGCAACCCTCTGCAGAGAGAGCAAGAGGAGAGGAAGACTGGTCAAACTGGTAGGCAAGACTGGGAAGCCCAGATGCACTGGCAAAAAACAGGGTGCAGAACAGGCTGCAGGAAAAAGGCAAAATGCCACTTAGGCCTTCGGAAAAGCCTGTCCATCCAAGCAATGTTTTGAGTGTGAGCAGAGCCATCAGAGAAGGAAGGTAACCATTAGTGGCTAAAAGGGAGGCAGCTTCCTTCCTTCCCACCGTGGTACTTACTGTTCCACACACCCATGCGTAGTGACATCATGCTGACGCACTGCTCTGAAAGTCTCCGTGCCGTTGACTTCTGCCACTCCCTCTGGAAATCTGTTGTGATGCAATAAGACATCAGCTGCCTTCAGAAAACACGTTTAGTTACATCGCATGATTTAATGAGGCTGTCAAAGCACAACGAATGCATGAGGCTTGGGGCACGTTTCCCATTGTTCCCTTTGTTGTTGGTATGTTTAGGGTTATTGCCCATACGCGTACCGATGGGTTTGTCCCACCGTTTTTTTTATCCCATATAGGGTAAAGAATGTGGCTTCAACTTGTACTAGGTAGGGACTTGCCCAGAATCTCAAAGTCACAGAGCCCATGAAAAGCTACCAAATTATCATGTTTCGGGGGTGTTGGTTGTAGCCACGTTGATCTAAGGATATAGGCAGACAAGGTTCTTTGGGTAAATGTGATATCTTTCATTAGACCAACTCAATAGCTGGAAAAATTGTTCTTTGCAAGCTTTGGGGCACAAACACTCTTCCTGAGGCTCTCCTTATGCCTAAAGAAGGGTGTTTGTGCCCGAAGCTTGCAAAGAACAATTTTTTCAGCTATTGAGTTGGTCTAATAAAAGGTATCACTTTTACCCAAAGAACCTGGTCTAACCAAATTACCATACACCCAACATCTGCCTGGTCGGGATATGTGAAACAGCACCGTATCGTTTCGACTTCTGCTTCATCATTTCGAAGGGACAGTGTTTCGTTTCATCATTTCGAAGCACTGTTCTGTTTTGTTTCACCGAAACTGTTTCGACATTTCTCCCAGAGGCTATAATGGGCAGTCATGAAAATGCCTAAAGCTTTGCCTGATTCAGATAAAAATTGCAGGGATGGCAGCCCCTTCCAAGGGCATGGAGCCTGCCAAGTTTCAAGATAGGTGTAGGGGTTTCTGGGAAACTGCACCTCAAACTGTTTGAAGCAAAATGTGTGACACCTGCCGGCAGCAGCAGTCTCCTCTCATCCGGCATGCAGAGCCAGGGGCCTGCACCTCCAGGAGGGCTGTGCTGGACTCCTCCTGGGGGGCGTAGGCCCCCCCGGATATGCACATGGGATGATAGTGGGCTGCTGCTGCTGGCTGGAACCGGTGCTGAAGCCAAGTAAGCCCAGCTGCAAAACTTGAAACATTTGGAAACTTTCGAAACATTTCGAGTGCCCTCATTTTGTTTCAAAGCTGTTTCAAAACCTTTTGTTTCGTTTCGGTTTTATTGCTTTGAGCTCTAAATGTGTCGAAACAGCTTCAACACGACACACCCAGCAAAATTTCGCACAGCCCTACTACCTGGTATGTTCAAATAAAAACAGAGCCATGCCTTCAAGAGAAGACCCCAATCTATCACAAGGAAAAGATGAGCATTTCATTCAACGTACCCCTGAAGGAAAGTCTTCAATGATACTAAGATCAGATTTTCCAATAGGTAGCTAGCATCCCAGCGCGGACACTAGAGACCAGGATAAGCGAAGCAGCACGCACAGCGAGGCAGCAGCAGTGACCTCCAGACATGGCACAGCCGGAATCCAGCCACTGGGGAACACACTCGCTCTCGAGCTCTCCAGACTCGAGGCCCCGTCGTTCGGCTCAAGCCGCCCTTGGAAAACGCCGGCTCTTCATTTCTGCTCGTTCCTTGACAAGCCCAGCGCGATTCTGCTGTTGCAAAGACCTCAGGCCGGGCGGGATGCTGCAGTTCGTATGTGGAACTGCTGGGTGTGTCGTGAGCTGTTTGCACACCTAACCGAGCTGACGCTGCGTGGGGCCTTGCACACCCCTGAAAGGATCCCTGGGTGAGCGCTGCTGCCCCCAGTGTGTGCCCTAGACACACTCATGCTGTCACGCTCTCACACTCACTCTCACACACTAATGCTCATACAGTCATGCTCTCACATGCTCTCGCACATACACACATTCACGCACTCATTACTTGCTCACACTCACATGCATTCATGCTCATAGGTTCATATAGTCATGCTCACCCACATGCTCTCTCACACACTCAATTATGCTCCCTCAGAAGCTCACAAACTCTCTCTCACACATTCATACACACGTGCTGTCACATGCTTGCACTCACACACTCACCCTCCCACATGCACTCTCACTCTCACATCACACACACTCAGGGTCTCACATACACTCACATGCTCATGCACACACACTCACATTCACCCATGCTAGGGTGTCACGCACACTCATGCTCTCACACACAGACACGCACACTCAGGGTCTCACACACAGTGACATGCTCGTGCACACACACTCACTGACTCACAGTCACACGTGCTCAT